TCCCACTCCACAGAGGAAGCCTCTCCCCACTCCCAGTTTTGCTTTTTCCTGTTCGCTGCTCTGGATTTTGCAACGTCAGTTATTATCTGTTGGCTTTCTCTGACCGAAGATGAGGACTTAGTTCTGACATTCTACCACTCGCGCTCCCCTCCCCTCCTCTTTCCCTCTCTCAAAGACATACCTATCATTACCTCCGGTGAGGTCAGGATTTACCGGGCTATAAATAGGACCCGGAGTGAGGCCACCACACGTATTCTGAACACGCTGCCATTCTGGTGCAGCTCCCGCCTCTCCTAGAGTTAGAAACGGTCTTGCGTGGTCATGAGCTCAGCTTGCGGCGTGCCCATCACTCACGCACCAGAACCCTGGGACGGCACTCCAGGCCCGCGTCCTGTGGCCAAGCATGACATGAGCCCCCCCTGCAGCCTGCCAGTGCCCTCTGTGGCCTTTCCTGCAGCCCAACGAAACCACCGTGTGTGTGTGTGTGGGGGGTCTCTCTTTGCCACGATCCTGGGGATTCCCTGCTAGTCCTTTCTATTGTCTGTTTCCATTTGCGGAACCCACCTTGTGGTAGATACACCCTCACGTGACTTCTAGGAACTGCTTCTTCATGCTGAGACCTGTCGCTCGCCCTTAACCAACAGAATATGGTGGAGGTGATGGGATAGCGCTTCGCCTGTCCCGCCTGCTGGCTTTCAGTGAGTACCACGTTATGAACGGGCTGAGAAGGCCACAAAACCCACATGTAGCCTCCAGCTGATGGCCATCGAAAAGCTGGGCCTTCAGTCCTACAACTGCAAGGAGCTCCAATCTGCCAACAACGCTGTGAGAGGAGCGCCACGCTCAGATGAGACCACAGGCCCAGCTGAAGCCATTACTGCAGCCTGAAGGAGAAAACTTGGCTAATCTGTACCTGGACTCCTGATCCACAACCGTGACATAACAAATGTGTATTATTTTCAGTTGGTAAATTTGTGGGAATTTGTTACACAGCATAGAAAATAGAAAATCAACACATGTATCTTCCTCTTTTAAACACCTTTTCTCTTGTTTTTCTACTTACTGCAACTTTTATTTTATTATTATTTATTAGAGAGAGAGAGTGTGTGTGCACGTGTGCGTGGGGGGCGGATAGTGAGGGGCAGAGGGAGAGGGAGACAGAGAATCTCAAGCAGCCTCCATGCTCAGCATGGAGCCCTACGAAGGGCTCGATCCCACGACCCAGAGATCATGACCTGAGCCGGAATCAAGAGTTGGATGCTTAACTGACTGAGCCACCCAGGCGACCCACCACAACTTTATTTTAAAAACTGCATTATTTAGGGCGCCTGGGTGGCTCAGTTGGTTGAGCGACTGCCTTCGGCTCAGGTCATGATCCTGGAGTCCTGGGATTGAGTCCCGCATTGGGCTCCCTGCTCAGCAGGGAGCCTGCTTTTCCCTCTGACCCTTCTCCCTCTTATGCTCTCTATCATTCTCTCTCTCTCAATAAAAAAATAAAAATCCTTAAAAAAAAAACTGCATTATTTAGTAACTTGGCATACAATAAGCTGCACATGTTCAAGGGTAAAGTTTACGGTATGCTATTTGCAAAACAGGCTGCTATAAGCATTTATATACAGATCTTTATATGGGTCTTTATAGGTTTCATTTCTTTTGAGTAAATAATTAGGAAAGGAAATTTTTTTTTTGGTCATATGGTAGGTACATTTAACTTTATTTATTTATTTATTTATTTTACTTTAATAAACTATCGACTTATTTTCTAAAGGGTAGTGCTGTCATGAATTCCTTCTAGCAGCTTAGGAGAGTTCCAGTTGCTCCACATCCTCACCCATATTTGGTATGGTCAGTCTTTTTAAATTTTTTTAATTTAAATTCTATTAGTCAACATATAGTACATCATTAGTTTCAGATGGAGAGGTCAGTGATTCATCAGTTGCATATAACACCCAGTGCTCATCACATCATGTGTCCTCCTTCATGCCCACCCCCCAACCCACCTCCCCTACAGGAACCCTCAGTTTGTTTCCTAGAGTTAAGAGTCTCTTACGGTTTATCTCCCTCTCTGATTTCTTCCCATTCAGTTTTCCCTTCCTTCCCCTATATAGTCAGTCTCTTTAATTCTAGACATTCTGATAGCCATGTACTAGTATCTCCCTGGGGCTTTCATGTGCATTTCCCTAATTTTCCTGTGCTTATTACCCATATATTTGCCTGGGTAGCAGTATCCATTCAAATCTTTTATTCATTTTTTTAAAGGAGTTGTTTGATTTCTCATTATAGGGTTTTGAGACTTCTTTCTATATTCTGGCTACAAGTCCTTATCAGATAGATGATTTGCAAATGTTCTCTCCCCTCTGTGGCTTATTTAGTTTCCAAGTATTTGGGGTTTTTCCAGATGTCTTTCAGTGTCGATTTTTTTTTTTCCCCAGTGTTGATTTCTAAGTTAATTCCATTGTAGTTAGAGAACCTATTTAGTATGATTTGAATCCTTTAAAATTTATTGACACTTAGTTTGTGGCCCGGGATACGATCTATCTTGGCAAATATTCTGTGTATGTTTGAAAAGAATGTGTATTCTGTTGTTAGATGGAGTGTTCTATTAATGTCAGCCAGGTCAAGTTGGACTGTAGTATTGTCCAGGTCCTCTATATCTTTATTAATTTTCTGTTTATTTGTTCTGAGGGGTTTTAAAATCTCTGACTATATTTGTGGCTTTGTCGATTTTCCCTTACAGCTTTGCTCCGTGTGTGCTGAAGCTTTGTTATTAGAGACACAAACACATAGGATTATTATGTCCTGCTAATGAAATGGCCCTTTTACAATTATGAAACCACCCTTAATATCCTTGGAGATGTTCTTTGCTCTAGTTCTGTTTTGATACCACTCTAGTTTTCTTCTGATTGCTATTAGCATTTTCCCAGCTCTTTTCTTTCTAAACTACTTAATGTCTTTACATTTAACGTGGGTTTCTTGTTATATATTTGAGACTTGCCTTTGTAGTCAATCTGACAACTCTCTGTCATTTAGACTATTTATATTTAGTGTGACTATTGATTTGGTTCGGTTTAAATCTACTGTCTTGCTATTCTTTTTCTCTTTGTCCATCTGCTCTTTGTTCCTTGTCTCCTCTTTCTCTGCCTTCTTTGGATTGAGTATTTTTAACGATTTCATTTTCTTCTTCGGTTGGTTTATTAACTCCAACTCTTTGCTATATTATTTTAGTGGTTTCCTTAGTGTTTATGCTACACACATTTAATTTTTCACAGTGCACCATCGAGTGATATTACTCTACTTCATATAGGGACCTTGTGCTATTGTGGTCATATATTTTGCTTCTATATATTTTATAAACCCCACATTTCTATTATTTTTGTTTAATACAGTCATTTATCTTTCAAAGAGACTTAAATACTAAGAACAGAAGTCTTTATGTTTACCCATGTGGTTACTATTTCTGGTGCTCTTCAGCCCTTTGAGTAAATCCAGGTTCCTGTCTGGTCTAATTTTCATTCTGCCTGAAGGACTTCTTTTAATATCTCTTATACTTCAGGTTGGCTGGTGATCAATTCTTTCAGCTTTTGCTTATCTAATAAAGGTCCTTATTTCACCATAGTATTTGAAAGACATTTTAACTGGGTAAGGAAACCTAGGTTGAGAATTTTCTTTCAGTGCTTTAAAGATGTCACCCAACTGTCTTCTGGTCTGCATTTTTTCTGACAAGAAACCAGCTGCCAATTTATCTTTTTTTCCTCTGTACATAATGTGTCTTTTATCCTTTGCTTATTTTTATGATTTTCTCTTTATCATTGGCCCTAAGCAATTTTTTATATTAAAAATATTTTTTATTGAGGTATAATTGCCCTATAACTTTATATTAGTTTCAGGTGTACATCATAATGGTTTGATATTTGTATATATTGAGAAATGATCACCACAGAGTCTAGTTAACATCTGTCACCATGAATAGTTACAAAACATTTTTTCTTGTGATGAGAACTTTTAAGACCTACTCTCTTCTCAATGTTCAAATGTGCAATACAGTATTAATTATAATCATCATGCTGTACACTACATCCTTTGACATTACCTTTTTATTCCCGCAGAGCAGGAAGCCTGATGCGGGGCTCGATCCCAGGACCCTGGGATCATGACCTGAGCCGAAGGCAGATGCTTAACGACTAAGCCACCTAGGCGCCCCTTGGCCATTATTTCTTAAAATATTTTCACTCCTCTTCTTTTTCTCCTGTGGGACTCTAATCATATGTATTTTTCATCACCTGAAATTGTCCCAAAGTTCACTGATGCTCTTTTCACTTTTTTTAGCCTTTTTTGTCTCATTTTAGGTAGTTTTTACTGTTATGTCTTCAAGTTGACTAATCTTTTCTTCTGCAATATCTAATCTGTTACTAATTAGAATATTTTTTTCACCTCAAACACTATAGTTTTTATCTCTAGAAGTCTGATTTGTCATTTTTATGTCTTCTGGCTCCATTTAACATGTTAAGTCCTTCCTCTGGTTTCTTGAACATATATATGGACTACCATCATAATAACTGTTCTAATGTCCCTGTCTACTAATTCTATCATCTGTGTCATTTACAGGTTAATTTTGATAGACTTTTCTCATCATAGGTTGTATTTTCCTACTTGTTTGCATGCCTGGTAATTTTGGATTGGTTGTCAGATATTTGATCTCGTTGGATCCAGGATATTTTTGTATTTTTATATTTAGTTCTGGGACACATTTAGTTACTTAGAAACAAGTTTATCTTCTGGAATTTTGTTTTACAGTGTTGTTGGGTGGGGCCGGAACTGTATCTAGTCTAGGATTATCTTTTTCCCTACTGAGGCAAGATCCTTAGTATTCTAACCAGGGTCCCCTGATTATGAGGTTAAAGCACCGGAAGCAGGCACCTCTTCCTGGCTCTCTGTGGGAGCCATGCACTGGTACCTCTCATTCTTTTGGGTGATTCTTTCTTGGCTTTCTCTACACACAGGAACTGTTCACTTGAAAACTCAAGGACGACCCTCAGCAGGACTTCAGAGCTCTCGCTCTCTCTCTGTGTCTCTGCCATCTGCCCTGCAAACTCCAGATGCTTTGGACCCCCAGCTCCATGCCTTCAACTCCATGAGACAGCTGAAGCCTTCTGGGTTTCCTCTTGCTACACAGCAGCATGGAGTCTCTCTTCTCTAGACAACAGTGGAGGCCACTTGTTGGACTCATCTTGTTTGTTTCCCATTTCTCAGGGATCAATATCCTTTGCTGCCTGATGTCTGAAGTCTTGTGTGATATTTTCTCAAATACGTCGCCTAGTTTTTTAGTTGTTTCAAATGGAAGGGTAAATCTGGTCCCTCTTTTTCTATCTTCACTAGAATGCAATTTACTTTTAAGACTGTTATATGTCATTGGGGGAGATATTATTATGTTATAAATGTTGAGTATGAATTTTATAGGCTGATGGAGGTTTTAAAGGTTACTATTATGCCACTCACTCTACCTACTAGGTAAGATTATTGGAAACATGGTATTTTTACATATAATAACAGAATTGGACTCTAAGATATGTAGTCCAAGAATAAAATTATATTCACAAAATTAAGGTCCAATGGCACAATACAAAGGACTAAAAATTAAATCACTTTCTTAAACCCAGAGCCAAAATTCCATTCATTTATTAACATGTAAAATAAATACAGGAATTCTCTGTGTGTGTGTGAGTAAAAAGCTTGCAGTCTTTAAAAGGGAACATGAGAAATTCTATACTCGTGATTCAGATTAAAATGTGTACTTTTTAAAAAAAAAAAGCAAACTGTAGAAATGATTAGGAATAAAGCAACATACTTTTACGTTTAAGTTTACAAATTGAAAACCAATATTAAAAGAAGAGGATTCTTTAGTTATCTGCTTTTCTCAATCAGAACAAACTGGTTTTCTCTGAACTTTTCTTTTTTTGGCAAGTCAGCTCCTTACTTTCTTGCTTTGCTACCAACACAAGACGCAAGAACCATTTGAAGTTCAGTGTGCCTCTGTCAGCTGGCCTCTCAGTGACCTTGGTGAATGAAAGCTTCTCATGATGGCACATTCTCAAATAAATCTGTGGCTCAGGCATCTGACAAGTGTCTGAGTAATTCACTAGCATGTTGAAGTACAGTGATACCATCAGCCCATTAGCTATTTTCCCACAGAAACCAAGCCAATAAAGCCTGGATATTTCATATACATACACATATATGTTACGTTACATATATGTGTATGTATATATAGAACACAAATTATCAATGTAGATGCACTTTCCATCAGCAAACAGTTATATCAGCACCATCTGTCTCCCAGCCTAGTTTCGTTTTCACTAAAATCTCACTTTTCCTTCTTCCTCATTCTCTCCCCCCAACCATTACACCTATTGTAATGTAATTTTCTGGAAGCCAAAAGTCAATCTGGTGCTTATGTGAAAATATAATTTCAAGCACAAACATCTCCTAGATTTGTTTCACATGCTGTTATGTTTCAGAAGTGACTGGAGCAGGGCTCCAATTTTCCTAAATGAACTGGGACTAGTGGGGGGCTTCCCAACCAGCTGCTTCCCTCCCTGCAGTCAGTGGGGATTTCCATAGGGGAAAGGATGAGGACTGGCTCTCTGCCTCAGGCCCTTTTCATTTCATTCCCGCCAGTACTTGGGGACACTGGGAAAGTAAAAATAGTTCCCCATGGAAAAGAGGTTAGGGGGTCCTAAGACAGTATGATGTATTTATTACCCAAACATAAAATTGCATGGACCTCTCTTCTTATAAATCACAGGTTGAAAAACAATGGCCCACATGCCAAATCTAGCTGGCCTCCTATTTTTGTAAATAAAGTTTTATTGGAATATAGCAACACTCATTTGTTTATATATTGTCTATGGCTGCTTTGGCACTAGGGTAGTAGAGATGAATCGGGACAGACACTGTACAGTCTGAAAAGCCTAAAGTATTTACCATCTGGCCCTTTATGGACAATGTTTGTTGACTTCCATTCTAAAAGAGAACTTGAGAAGAATGTGGGTATTCTACAACTTTCCTTAAAGACATCAAAAACATTTTGTAACTAGTGAAGTGCAGATGTCAACTGAATGAGACAGGCTGGTGACAGTCTTAGAATCTAGATTACTGGTTGAACAATAAACACATTTTTCAAAAGGGGCATTAACCTGGTATATTCTCAGTGTTTTAGGGGATTGGTGGGGTGGAATCATTCTCAAGTTAAAAGATACTTAATTATAGGGCGCCTGGGTGGCTCAGTTGGTTAAGCGACTGCCTTCGGCTCAGGTCATGATCCTGGAGTCCCTGGATCGAGTCCCGCATTGGGCTCCCTGCTCGGCAGGGAGCCTGCTTCTGCCTCTGACCCTCCCCCCTCTCATGTGCTCTCTCTCTCTCATTCTCTCTGTCTCAAATAAATAAATAAAATCTTTAAAAAAAAAAGATACTTAATTATAAGTGGTAGTATTAATGTATAGCATTTTTTAAAATTTAGAATCTACTTCATAAAACCTGATTTGTAGATTGTAGATGAAAGTTTTACTTGGAACCTGATTTTCTTTAATTTTAATCTCCTCACTTCTTGGAGATGTGACCTCTTCTTGCACCTAAGGCTATAACATTCTGTTCCACCTGGGCCAGAGGTGGGAAGTCTATCTGTCTCTGTGTCATCTGAAGGCTGAAAGAATGACACTTAACTCTTGCTAAGAGTCAATGGAACCAGGTCCTATGTCAATATAAGAGAGTGCTTACTCGATGTGGGAGAGGTTAGTGTTCTACTCTGCATTGAAATAGAAAACAAGGGTTCTATGGCGTGTTCAGATTATCAGTGGGAATTGTTGAGAGATCTATGATCTCAGAATTCTGAGATGGCAGTTGGAGTGATCTAGCATTTGTTACTGTCCTTTTAGACCTGGCCCTTTGTCATGTAGGACTGTCTGGCAAGTGGGCCCAAAGGCCTGGATTGGCTCTGAGACAGGAGGGTCACCAGAGGGAACTTAGGAGGGAAGTGATCCCTGGATAGGCAGTTAAGCAGAACCAAGGACACGATGCTTACTCCAGAAACACCGAGGCCTGCTGGAAGAAGGGAAGCTGCTACGGCGGAGCGGTTTATCTAACAGTGGAAAGGGGCACTTTCCTAAATGAAAAACCCAAGTTATAAATCCCGGGTAAGGGACTGCAATAGGAGGATAATACAGTGGCGAATTTGATCGAGGGTGAGGAGTGGTAAAGGGAAGAAGCACAGAGTAAGCTAGACTCTACTGGATGGATTTTGTATTTAGCCTTTGCCACGAATGGCCAACATCCAAAAGTCCTGTGGCCTATCAAGCCAGCAAGAGAGCACCTGGCTTGTTTCTGACCATCCCTTACTCCTCTTGGCTACATAACCGGGAGGGCTAGGGGCACCCCACTAAAAAAAAAAAAAAAAGTACCTAATTAAAAACATTGTGATCTCCGTGTACCTGGGTTTGGGCCTTATGACTGCACTCATTTTGGAATGAAGCCACAGCTAAAATATCATAGGGTAGAGGTGGCTGAACTTAAAACATGAAGTCAGTACTCAAGGTACCCCATCCCCCCAACCCCCTGCCCCTGGACCCGCCTTTCCCAGCATCCCAGGCTGAATTCCTCATCTTTCACCAAGACCGTCCCAAATTATGATTGATGTACGGACTGCAATAAAACGATACCATAGTTTTAGTCCCTTCCAAAAATTTAATGAAATCAGGCACACTGGCAGAAGTCCACACGAAAGGAATCAAAGCTGGATACCATGACCACTGCTTCAAAGAAATGAGCTGAGTTCAAAAGAAATAAGGCTGTGGACAAGTACTGACGCCATTCTTAAGAATACTGACGGTCGGTCCCATGAATGTATCACTGTTGACAATGCTAGGTGTGGTGAAAATGGTTCCTTTCTGGCCCACGTAAGAAAGTTCTTGAATTTTTAGCTTTTACATTCTGTCAAGTTTGTCTTATGTTGTAAGTAAATGATTTCTAGGTTCAAAAATTTATGCGATTCCTAAGAAGCTTAAGAAATTTCTATTTAACTTTGGAAAAAAATAATTTGGGCTGGATACTCAGAGTATCGAGAGAGTCTCCTGGGATTTGTGAATGGAAACATTAAAAGCCTGCAAAAGTCCTGAAAGAGAAGAAAGGTCAGAGAGTGGGCTGGGAAGCATATGGATGTTGTAACTGAATCCTCAGTTCAAGACGAAGCTGACCCGCAGCGGCTACTGGGAGCCATGAGGAAATGCCTCAGGATTTGAAAGCCCCGGTAGTGTTATTAACCGCGTCCAAGAGTAAAAAGTGAAAAATGATACTGGAAAATCCTGAGGTGTCTCCATCTTCATCCCTGATAAGATCTTGGCTCAAGTTCCTCTCAATGGGTCACTAGGCAAAAGGCACTGGTGGTCCGCAAAATCACAATGTGGTTTCTTATTACGGTGCGGTCAGGCAGCCATGCCTCCGTGGCTGCAGACAGGAGGGCAGCATAAACTCCCCTTTGTCATCTTTTGATTTAATCAAAACACAGGGCTGCTATCAGATCTGTATTCTAGCTGCTATTTCGGTTTGTTTACCCAGAAGTCTCCTCTGCTGCCAATGGAGTGAATCAGAATTGTGTTATCTGTTTAGCATTAATCATCTCTTTCATGTAGCCATGCCTGAGAGTCAACTTGTTATTCAAATGCTACTTTCAAGTCATCTTGGATGTCCCTTGGTGCCTTGCTAAAAACTATGAACGTGCAATCAAAAGTAACCGCCCGGGGTTTACAGGCACTGCAGCCCCATGCAATACGTGGGACACCGTGTCCGCGGGACATCGGCAGAAAGGAAGGAATTAATGGTGATGCCAAGCTGCCAGGCTGCTACTTCTGTTCCAGTTCCTGGAGAACTGACCACGTGGTGGGCCTGGGTCATGGGGTTTGAGAGATTTCACTCCCCAAGTGCACAGAGATACGTGCTTACATACAGTCATCTACCTTACTTATAGTTCACATGCAATCTTATTTCCAGGGTTCGCAGGCAAGAAGCTGTTATCTATTCCTTATGAAGCTAATAAAAATTGTGATTTAAAAGAGGGATGAGATAATTTGCGATATTGTTCAGTGGTGAAACTAACAGAAGTTGATTTTATAATAACGAAATGGATATGGTTTTAACATATGTACAACAAAGACCTGCATACGCCGCTTTCACACTGAGCATGAAAGGAATGAGATGGGCAACGGTAGGAATTTTGGGGGAATAAGATGAGAAACCTTAAGTTTGAGAGGACCCTTCTTAGGGGGCTGGCGGGGGGAGGGGCCTTAATCATCCCAACAAGGACGCAGT